CTTAAAAATAAATTTCATTTTTATAATTTTTTATATAAATTAATAATAAAATAATACAATAAATACAATACATACAAGTTAGAAATACCTTATAAATATTATGTTCTTGGATTTTTTGTTCTGGTAATGGTGTTGGCATGCTTTGTGAGGACGGTTATTTCTTTTAGTTTGGAGGCTATTTGGTTTGGGAGATTTTGTCATTTTTTTTTTCTTTGATAAGAACACTTTAGCATTGTGAAAGAAGAAATTCACCATCCATGAACAACCTACTTTATATATATATATGTGTGTGTGAACGTTTGAGAGAAAAATAAGGTTAAAAATAGGTTTTTGACCACATATGTTAGTGAGTTAGGATTAGTTGAGAGGGGGACCAAACTTTTTGCACAGGAAAATGAGATAAGGAAGCTCTAATAGTCTTTAGGAAGGATCGAAACAAAATTTATAAAGGTTTTTTGTGTACTTAGTGAATATTTTTCTGGTTTCTTTGTAAAAAAAGTTAAAAATTAGTTAAAAATAGAAAAGATTTTAATATTTTTGTAATATTAACTTACATCAATGATAAAAAAAAATTAAGTATAACCACTTAATAATTTGTTTTGTATTAGGGGTAAAGTTTCTATTATTAACATAATAGGAAAAATGACTACACAGCATATACAATTGAATAATCTAAAGTGATTTTAAGCATAGTAAAGAAAGCAATTTAGGGTTTTCAAGCAAATAGGGGATGAGGAAGAGAGGAAAGAGGAGATGTGTAAGAAATTTATATATTTTTTATCAATTTTTTGTAAAAAATTTAGATTTTTTTTTTTACCAACCATGAAGTTTAGAGATTAATTTTTTTTATATTTAATAAACTCACTAATAGTTATGTCAATGTTGAGTTTAAATTTTACTATTGTAATTAATACAAGGAAAAATTATGATTTTTTGAGCAACTCATGATGATTATTATCAAAAAGGTTAGGAATATTAGTTGAAACAAAATAAAAATTTTGGAAAAAAAAAGTCTCATTTTTAAAAGATTGATGACTAGTGATAGAATTTATATTTAAAATTTTTAAAGAATTGGAGTTGTATTGAATTTTTTCCAAAAGT